CATTAAGGAAAATTACGCCACATAGGACCACCCAGTCAGTAATTTCGACGAACCGGAGTGTTCTCGAGCGCGTAGACGGTCTGGATCTGTTCCTTCATCAGGCGCGACCGAACGGTCGCGATTAAATGCGATGAACGATCCAGATTCGTTATCTCTTTAAATGCGATTGGACGGTCGAGATTAAATCGCGATGAATGGTTCAGATTCATTTCTTCTTTAAACGAGATCGGACGGCCGAGATCAAACGCGATGAACAGCCTATATTTATGCAAGACGGGTATAAATATTTTGCATCACACCGAACTCAAACTCTATCTGCCAGCCTCCTGCTAGAGAAAAAGAACCAATCGCTGGAGAATGGAGCTAACCGTCACTCACCACCGCACCGGAGCCACCTCCGACCGCCAAAAAAGATTAAAATTCTCCTATTTACTCGAAATTTGATTTCGAGTACCCTCATGGCCAAATTAGACCAAAAGAACGGCGGATGAGCCAGAAACTGCAAGCAAAACCCGTAACCGCCTCTGATGAGCCCATTTTCGTTTTTCGTTTCATGCGATTTTTTCACCATTTTATTTTTTAGAGGTTAACGAAAGAAAAATGCCCAGCTGCGAAAGTGAGCCAGCGAAACTGCAGCACTGAAAAATTCCACCGCCGGTAGATTTTTGTTTTTTTACTTTTTTCGGTTAACCGTGACTCCCTAACGTATTTTCTCGCATGGATGGGTATAAAACCAATAAAAATCGGCCAAAACTGACCGAAAACGGCCAGGCCGAGACAAATCGCCGCCGTGTCAAAATTCTAAAATTGGCCGAAAAATATTTTTAACACCGATTTTGGACTTTTCATGATATTTTTATATATGTAAAGCGTGTTTTAATCTCTGCAAGAAAAATTCAGGAAACTTGGAGACCGCCAGTAGGCACACTAGAAAGTTCGGTGTTTCGAACATCGATTGGAGTAAAAATCCCTCATCTTATTCTCTATTATTGAATTGAAGTTTAATAATCAATAATATGGTATTTTATGTAATTTAGAAAATTTTGAGAATAATTATAAGTTACTAATAGAGCCGGAACCGGCTAGTTTTTTATTTGTCATGTTTAACTGATTGTTGAATTTATACATTTAAATACATGATGATATACCAGAATGGTTGAATGATTCAGTTGTACTTCCTTGATATATATATATATATATTGTTTGTCTTGCGTGATTTACAGTTGATTTGTGAAATTAGTAATTA